GGCTGTTCCTGCTTCCCTGCACCGGAGAGGGAAATGTGGCCCTTGACAGTTTGCCCAAACTTGGTAAGTGGCCTTCCACCTGAAGTAATTGCCCACCCCTGGCCTAAGCCCAAGCAGGCAGTCTGGCCCTGCATGCTGTGGAGAGAGGAGTTCCCCGGGGAGAAGGGCTGCTGGAGACAGATAGGTGGGCTCCCAAGGGAGCTGGGAGTGAGGGGGGTGGTCCAAGGGAGTTATGGCTTGTGGTCAACATTCACCCTGCATGGGAAAGACTTTGAGTTTGTGTCGTGGTTGTCTTGCATTGATGTTACGTTTTGAGCTTGATAAAACCAGAGGGCTAGGTTGTGACTATGGAGGAGGAGTGGAGGCCATCCTTGTGGGGCACTCTGCAAAAGGCAGTTCAGTTTGGGGTCGGGGACCCAGAGGGCTAAGGGCTGAATGAGTTAGGCCAAAGCTTGGAGGGCTGCAGCCACAGGGAGCAAAAGCAGCCTGGCCTTGGTGTTGGGGACCCAGAGGGCTAAGGGCTAGAATAGCAGGTAGCCCAGCCTGGGGTCAGAGACCCAGAGGGCTGAGATGGATATAGTGGGCAAGTCTGCCAAGGCTACAGGGCCAGGGCAGAGGGCTGAACCAGAGCACACGAGACAGGAGCTAGGGGTCCAAAGTGCACAGGACAGGTGTCATGGCTCCAGGTGCAAGACAGGGCTGGGCCCGAGGAGCCAAGCTCCAGGACAGTGGACCTGGGCTGAGGGACACAGCCAAAATAAAAGGCCCAGGGCTCGGAAGGCTATGACCCTGGCAAAGGTTCAGAGCCTGAGAACCAAAAGCTGCACTGGGGCTGCAGGGTCCCCTCCAAATGAACATTGAGTAACATCTGCAAGGCATGGGCATGGTTACAAGGGAGGAAGGAGGCCGCAAATATAGCCCATAAGCAACTGGTGCTCTGAGGCACTGATAGGGCCAGAGAGCCATAACATAGTGCCCAAGGGGCAAATCTGGGGCCAGCTGGGTACAAGAGTTACCCCCCAGCCAAAGTGGGTACGGCTGACCCTGAGGAAGCCTCCCTTAACACCATCATAAATCCATCATGGTGTGGTCCTGCTACACCCCCACCCTCACACAGGGCCTGCCTGACTCGGAGGGGTAGGTAGATACCCCATGCAGCCTGATCGGGTTGGCTGCAGCCTAGAGTGACTTGTTTGGAGGATAAGCACATGCCCTATGTCCCACTTATGGCCTGTTTCACATCCTGTCTGCTAAGCTGAGCCCTAAGTCTAGCTGTTCTTGTTTTCTTGTATGGCCATGCCTAGCCACCAAGGTGGGTGGCACACTATAAATACGCAGACTTGCAGACAGAGAAGAGGGTGATCTGTATTGTGAAGGAGCAGGCAGGTGATGGGGGCCGTGACCTTGCAAATTCCAAAGCAGTTGTTTTCTTCTAACGTCCGAAAGTTTTATTTTTGCCAAGTGACTATTTTGCTATCCTGTATCCTGGGAGGCTGGGGGGAGTGTATGTTTGTCTACTATATTTATGCCAAAGCACAGCCAAAGGCAGCCCACATTTCTCTCTCTTATGTTTGTCAACATTTTCGCGGGAAATGGCTGCTGCCAAATTTAACCAGCGTCCTTCAAATGTAGAAATCAATGTAAACACAGTGCAACCCCGAGCCAGTAACCACAGGGATGGGCTGAGTGTAAGAAGGGAGCCTGGGATTGTGAAGCTCTTTTCAGCCCTTTCTGGAAGAGGGAGGAAAGCAATTCCTCAGAAACTTGGCAGCTGCGTATGAAGCTTGCTTTTTTTAAAAATGTTTTTGGTTGGAGAAATCCAATGGTGTCTGCTTGTGCTGTGTGTCACAGCTCAACGTGCACATAATGTTTCACTGCCTGGTTTATTGGATTTCAGCTAATTCTTTGCAAAGTGGGAAAATAAATTATAGAAGCACGCTACACCACAACGCTGACCGTGGCTTTGCAGGTAGAGAATACACAGTAATGACTGAAGGTTTCACTGGCTGTTTTCCGGCAGTGCTTTAGCTATGTAAGCTTTTTTTAAAATCATATTTATTTGCTACTGCGTAGTGCATGCATGCTGTAATTTCTAACCACCAGTATGCAGACCTCACCATAGAGTCCCTGTCTGGGATTGGTTTCTAGGTTCCCATAGGGAGGAAGCTGGACTGATCCATCACGCACTAGCGCTCAACGTTCCCACAATGCACTATGCCTTGAGTTTCTCCAAACCCCGTGTTGGTAACCCAGCTCAGTTCCAGGTGATCGCTGGGACTTGGAGCAGACAAGCTCCACTGGGGTTAGGAGGACACGCAGCGTGAAGCTAAAGTGCCGGGGTCTAATCTTAGGATCTCCCTTGCCTGGGTATAATGCTGCTGCTCCTGATCCCAGTGATGGGCGCGATATCGGATTCTGGCTCTTGAGTTATGAGCCAGTCAAGCTGGTCCAAATGGCGGAGAATGCTGCAACGATTACCCAGGCCTATTAAGCTAAATTGGAAACAGTCAGAGTTGGGGGCGGATCCTGGATCATGATGATACGGTAGTGGCCTAATCCCCTTTGGGTGTGAGGAGAGCTCACCATGCATGTGCTACACCTCTGCAGGGTGTTTGGCCACAGCCCTTTGATGTGATCCGAGATGCCGGTGAGCTCTCAGGGCTCACCACCAGGTCAGAGCATATGGTGTGAGCTCCCTGAGCTCACCGGATGGTCGGCATGGCGCCTACCACGTTTAAGCAGCAGCAAAGCATGCTGCTCTTTTCTCTTCCTCTCCTTCCTTCCACCCCTGAATTCAGCAGCAGGGGAAAGGAGGGGACGAGCAGCAGTGATGCTCAGCCCGGGGGTTCCCGACCAGCTGCTCCTCCCCTCTTTTCCCCTGCTGCTGAATTTGGGGGGAAGGAGGTTGAGGAGGGAGGGGAAGAGCAAACAGCAGCAGTGCCCACCAACTGCACTCCAGAGCTTTGTGAAAGCAGGGCCCCCTCGATCGTAGAGTTCACAGTGGGCGCATCAACACGAGACGCTAACTGGGCAGCAGCCTAATAATATTGCACAGTAGCGGGCCGGGCAAAAACCATGTTTAATACGCTATTGCACAGTAGTATTAGGCTACTGTGCAGTAAGCATCACTAAAAACCCGTGCACCACCACTACTGTACAGTAGCGTGCGTTACTGCGCATTGTTTTAGTGCTTGGTTGTCCAAGTACTAAACTTAATGCGCAGTAACTACAGCACATTAACGAATGTGTAGACGCGCCCAGTGTGTGTGAAGCTTCCCACAGAAGCTGTGCTGACATGCTGGTGCTCAGAGCTAAAATGTGCATTTGGTACGTAGCCAGAGGGTGCAGTCACACTGCTGCGCTCCCTCTGGATGTGCCTCAGGCCACAGTTTCTGTCTGAGATGAACTGGGAAGGGGTAAAGGGTGGTGTGATCCATGCAACAGCTGCAAACGACTTCCTATGGCCCCCGGACCACAGCTGGGGAACCGCTCCTTGAAGCGATAACATCCTCTTCCCCTTGCAGTACTAGTGTAACATCCTAAGGCTGTAGGCAAGTGGGGTGCATGCTTTGGGCGCTGCCTAAGGGAAGGGGCTTCAGTAGGAGAGGGTGGGGGATGCAGGCAATGTGTGTCATGAGCACAAGGCATTCTGGGAATCACAGTTTTGTGGGGCAGCAGTGGAGTTTGCTGCTGGTGGGGGGAGAACCGAGCCCCGTTTTTTGCCACCATTTCTTTGGCTCTTTGCACATCCACGTCTGTGGCAAAAAAGTGGGATGAAACTTTTCCCCGGTCAGCAGCAAACTCCTCTGCCAGTCTAGAGAACTATGATTCCCAGAATGCCTTGCAGTCCTTGAGACTGCCCAGCTCTTGCTGTTGTTCTCATGCCTGAAATCAAGAAGGCAGGAGGGGAAGGCTGAGAGGCACTTTTTTTTCATGCAAACCCTCCGCCTTGCAGCGTCCATGTTCCTGCATTGGGTCTTACTGGATCTTATAAACAGGGACCGTAGCCGCAGAGGCCAACCGGACCTGCCTTGTTTCCAAATTGTCACCATCAGCAGAGCAGTGGGGCCCTTGCTTTCAAGTGGATTCAATGCACAATGTCAAGCGTCCCCTTCAAGGAGTTTAAAGCTAGGGGAAGGGAGGGATTTGGCAGTAGTCGAGGGCTGAGCAGTAAAGTCTGAATTCAGCATGTTGAAGTAAGATGCTTTTCTTGTTTGTGCTTGTAGGGGACGTGAAATGTTTCGGAGGAGACTGCTTTGCCTTGGCTTTTGGTGTCCCAGCAGTGCTCATGGTTTTAGCCTTGGGTAAGTGCATGCTACACCTGTCCCCCCTGGCAGAGGGCAAGCTTAGCTTGGGGAGTTGCCTCAGCACTGGACCCCTGCAGCGGGGCAGTCTGAGCACCCTTCTGTCTCTCTGGTCCCTTTAGAGCTGTAGGGTTGGTAGGGAACCCAGGGGTCAAAGGGTGCTTTGCCAATTTTGCAGGCTGGGCCCTGCTCTTCTAAGGGGGCTTAGGACAGCGCTGCGAGATGTCCTGACTGCTCCTAGCAGCTGGCACATCACAGCCGTTCTCTGGGGTGCACCGTGCCGTGACTCTTGTGCGGGGATGCTGGGTTAGGATGCAGTGTCTGGAGCATTCAGAGGTTTACAGCTCTATCCTTGAGGAGCTTTGGCTGTCAGGACCTGCTCAGTTTGCAGCCCAGAGTTCCCCAGCCAGGAGGCTGGAAGCTGATCACAGCACTTCTGCTTACGGCCATCTCTCCTTTGTGTAATGCTAGCTTCATGACCCCTTCCTTGTCCAGACAGCTCCACAGGGCAAGTCAGATGAAGCAAATTGCTGTAATTCTGAACCATCCTGCTTTGGATGGCTGCAATTGCACCCACAACTATTGTTATAACCTATTATTACATTACAGTAATTCACCCATATTCCCTGAGCATCGTGAACTAGCTATAATTATAGAGCTGCCCAGATCTAGCACTTCAGCCCCATCGGTGTCCTGCCAGCATATGCAGCTGAAACCATTATCAAGGAGCTAATGGGGACTGCATTTCTGTTGCCGTTCCTATGTAGCCAACGCAAACATCACCGGCTGTGAAGTATTGTGGGGAGTGAGCTCCTTCCATTCCCCCTGATTATACTGCATCAGGGGTGTTAGTTAGCCCCTTGCTTGAGCTCTCATTCAGCCTGTTAGCTTGTTTAATAGTTCTGGGGAGCACGCGGCTTTCAACAACTTCTCGGTAGTCTTCACTGCATCCCTAGCATGTCCTAGTGGGGACTTCCCACCCCTCTTCTCCGGCTGATGAGCTCCAGAACCAGAAAGGCAATGATGAACTTGCCTCCAGAGGATGTGCCCTTGTACGTCCCCTGGAGAACTTGGGTCCAGCATGCTGGAGCCTGGCCATTTTGGGGTATGCCGCGTGCTCAGTTGCATTCCTGCGGGAGCACAATGGAGCGGGCACTGTGGGCGTGTCCACACCACAGCAGCAGCATGTCCACATGCATACTCCAACCTGGGAACACACCAGGGAGGCCAGCCCAGGGTCACGTCCAGCAAGTGCTCTGAAGCACGCTGAACACCCAGGTCTCAAGGGGTCTCTGCAGTGATATATTTCCAGATTGGGCATGTGGATGCTGCTGCAGGTGGGTGGGGCGTGCTCAGGAACAGCCACCCGGGACATCCTGGTATAGACCTTCCCAATATCGACATACCCACTTGGTCCTGAGCAGCTCAGGAGCTACACAAGCAGCCAAAGTCACACTCACTTTGCATAGTGAAGCAGGGGATGTGTTGCATTATTGCAACACCTGCAATAAAAAAAGAACAAACAACCCACCAAACTGATTCCCATCTGTGCAAAGCCACAGATGTGAAGTGAAAGAGTCATTTGGGGTTTGAGTTCTGTGGTCGGAGTATCAGCGGCTAATCCAGAACGTCAGTGACCCAAAAGCTCGTGCTTCCTGAGAAAATGAACGTGGCGCCTTCCTGGAAAACTTCCAGCAGAGAGGAGGAAACAGGTCACTGGAGAAACATAATCAGCCAGCAAGTAATGGTACAGCAATTATTTTCAAAATGTGCGTGGCCACAGGCTCATAAAGCTTCCCATTTCCCACATGGGTTGTTCCTATCGGTTTAAGACAGAACCATATATTCTGTGTGCAGCTGCGTGGCAGGCACCTCTCGCAGGGTACCGGGAGCCAGGGGGAAAGGCTGGCAAATCTTTGCAGAGCTTCATGGCAAGATCTGATCAGCGATGGATTTCCTGCTGATCTCATGCTACCATGTAGAGTGCCCCTGTTATGTGACAAATGTCTACCCAAATGCATGCATCTCTGATGGGGCCTTTAGAAAGCCTGCTCTGCTCCCACTCACGCTTCAAGGGAGAAAAACTATGGGGCAAGGAAAGGGCTTTCAAACGCTCAGGAGACCACGAGCACAGACGATCTCTGCTAACTCCAGTATACGACATAGGTGGTCTGGTTAATTTAGAAACACGCCTGAAAAACAAAATGCACATCCTGCCTTGGATCTGGATGACTTCTTTCAACATTGTCGGGAATTCAGCCTGTTACTTAGTCATGGGCTGATGGGCTTTTACCATAGTCCTTCACATTTAAAATGCACCCTCAATTTACGGCTCCAGATTTAAGGAACCCCCTCCTCCCCCATCAAATAAAGGCCTGTGGATGAGGAAACAACCTCTATGGAGTGTGTAAGAGCTTTTTAGCATTTTTAATTCAAATGTAAGACAAGGGGCATTCTTAGAAGAAATATTTGGCTTCAAAAAGGGTGTCATATTCCCAAGTATACAGCAGCACCCCACGTGTTTGGCAGGGTTTGTAATCAGGATTCAGAGCAGACAAACAAGGTCATTTTCCCTGAGGATAGCCAGTTCCTAATGATTCCCTGTGGGATGTGGATGCCAAGCTGCCCTTTGCGCCCATAAAAATCCCCCCATCTCACTGCATGTATGAAAGGGCACGTGGGTGATGCATCACGTTGGCCATGTGTGCACGTATGTGCTTGCATGAGGTCCATGGTGCGTGAGCCCCTGCACAGAGTCGCTGCAGAGCAAGGCCTTAGTCACCGAATGAATCCCAGATTAACGCTCTCATGTTTTGCAGTCATATTTATTTCCGGAAGTGGATTGTACAAGAAGACGCCCCCCCAGGGAAACATCCTGCTCCAAGTTTGTCAGTGCGTTGGGGTGAGTGAGTTCCTGTCTCATCGCTTGCACGCCCAGCTCTAAGGCTGCAGCCTTGCAAAGGCAAGGTTTCACTGGGGCCCTTTTTTGAAAAAACACGCTCAGGAGGCGAAGGGGCTTGGAGGGCTCCTGGTTGGGCTATTTGTGAGCTGTGTGTGGAATGAGAAATGAGGCTTTGCCTCCCGACTACATGCCGAGGAAGTCATGCCTTGTTCGTTATTCCTCTCATGTCAGTGGGACGGTGGAGTAACGTTGGCAGATTGTGGCCCAACAGACTAATTTGGGGTGCGGGGGGTGACTAGGGCGTCAGTACTGGGGGCATAAACATAGCATAAAAGTAGAAACAGCACCTTCTGTTCTGCCCTGCTGTCTCCCAGGGCACAACCATCCGGTTACACCTGAGATCAGCCCCTTAAAAACCAAATGGAAAATTTTAAAGCTTAGATCTGCAGAGTCACCGTTTTATTGTATGTTGTCAGATCTCTGCCTAGAGCTGTAACACAGACCCATGAACCAGGTTCGTTCTCGTACTGTTATGCCAGGAGTCACCGGCAGGAGCTATTACAGTTTGAGAAGCAATTTATCTCAGTGTGTGCTCTTGGGGGGAAAAAAATACTGCCAGCTGTTAGCGTTGTCAAGTCGTTCCTCTTAGGGGAGCTCTTGCAAACGCACTGTTTGGGCCATTAGCTTATTTAACAGTCTGGGCAGCACGTGGCTTTCAAAAACCACTCGGTAGTCTTCGCTGCATCCCTAGCATGTCCTGGTGGGGACTTCCCACCCATCTACTCTGGCTGCTGAGCTCCAACAGCAAGCATTTTCTCTCCGCCTTAAACTCTCTAGCTAGAGTAAGTACTTGCAGCCGTCATTCCTGGGTACAGAGAGGGGAGTTCGCTGTGTTAGTCCGAAGTCAGACACAAGGCAGGGTACAGATGCACCTTATAGACCAACTCAGGTAGAGATGCATAAGGTTTTGTGAGCTGAGCTCACTTCACTGGATGCCATCGCAGAGCCAGGACTTGAGGCTCAGATTAATGCGAGGAGGTTGTCTGGGGTCTGTGTCTTATCACTTCTGTTCACAGATTGGGGTACGCAGAGAGAGGTACTTAGCTGGGTTAGTCTGAAGTCAGGCAGAAGGGAGGGGTTATGTGTAATTACTCGTCACTAATTTCTCGTCCAAAAGGAAACCAGCCTTGCAGGCCCCGCTATCTACTACTTCTCCGGAGAGGAGCAGCAGGGTTAATGCTCCGATAGGCCTGCAGAAGAACCGAGGGATGAGAAGTGTGGCAGTGACATTGCAGTAGATAATGAGGCATTTCCTTCTCCTTGACAGTGGCCAACTCCAAAGCATGGCTTTTAGAGAAGAAAAATGGCCAGACGGCTGTTCTGTGAATTTGAGATGAGCAGGCTTTTCGCGTGACGGGTGTTATATCAAGTAGGAAATGATCTTTGTGCCTAGTGACAAACATAACTTTGAGAGATACAACGTTTTCACGGAGCTCCCTTCATCATACTGACATGAAAGGAAACTTCTCCAAGAGACACAGTCATGCAAGGCCCCATCTTGCAAACCTGCGACTCCCACTGCCTTCAGCGCGAGCATCCCGGGCGGCCACCTATTGTGCATCCAAACAGACTTGGGCACCTAAGTGTGGTTTTAATCCAGTCTGTTCAAGTCCCTGAAAATCCAGCAATGCATCCATTTTTGTAGCACGCTCACCTTGCTGTTAAGACCGAGTCACAAAAAAGCAGCAAGGAGGAGGTCCCACCTACCTTGTGCATTAACTGGTTGTCAGGGACTTGTGCGGGGTGGAGTAGTATCACGCTTAGACATCTAAATCTACTTGCACGCCGAACTGATGGAATAAAATCTGGCCCCTCAGAGAGTCACTGGACTTGTCTTGAAGTAGAGAGTGTACAGAGACTTGTCCGTGAGACTTAAAAAGAGGGAGGGGACCAGTGGACCTGCCAGGTGGATGGGATCAGGACATGAATAATGATAAGCCCCAAATGTGCAGTGCTGAGGGTGGGGCCCAGAGGCAAGGGGCTTGCAGACATTTAATTGCACCGAAGAGCCTTGAGCGTTATTTTTTTTCTGTCTACAACATACAGATGTTTTAGCCTGATATCAGGAAACATCAAAACAAGCAAAGCCTCCAGTGCAAAAGGCCATCCTTAGGAAGGAAAAGTCTAGAGGCTAGACATGCAGCTGGCTGGTGTCGTCTGACCCCAGCGCTCCTTCCTGCCCAGGGCACGGGGTCAGACTCGGTGATCTACTGAGGTCCCTTCTGACCCTTCATCTATGAATCTATAAGAGTGCAAACACAAAAGGAGGAAGGAGTGGGTAGGTTACAGCAAGAAAAGGGATCTAGTCAGTATAGTAGGCTGCAACCTAAACGTGAGTCAACTAGGTGGTGATGCTGTTGCAAAAAAAGTGAACCTCATTCAGGGATCCATGAACAGCCACATAGGGCATGGGAGATAAGCATTCAGCTCCCCTCAGTCCTGGTGAAACCTCAGCTAGAGTAACATGTCCAGTTTTCATCGCTGTCCTTTAGAGCAGATGTAGGCAAGACAGTCCAACAGAGAGCAACAAGAACGACCAGCGGCTTGGAAAACCCAGTCTTTAAGGAAAGGTGGATGGGACTGGGGGCTCACTGAGACGTACGCAGGCTGAGTGGGAAACTGCATGAACCAGCAGCAAGGAAGGGAAATGAGATGGGATGAGGGAGATGGCTTCATTCGAGGAGGACATGGTACGTCTTCCAATATGGAAAAGCCTGAAGCAAAGAGACGACGGTCAGTTCTTTACAGGTGGTGGCAGGAGGATATGAAGAAATCCGCTTCATTTGCAGTTTCTAGTTTGCAGCTAGAAAGAAAAAATGGTCTAGCTGATAGTGTGACGATGAAATGCTGGAACAGGCTATCCAAGGAGGTCATGAAGCTTATTAAGGACAAGTCAGACAAACGCCGCTCAGAAATGGTCTAGATGTGCCGTATCCTGCCTCCGTGTGGAGGCTTGAACGTGTCGACTGCTAGAGGTCCTTTCCCGCCCCCCGTTTTTATGGTTCTCTGATTCTGTAGCGGGAAGGAGAGTGATTATTTCCTGAATAACCCAAAGCATTGACTTTCTCTGGCCAGCTGCTCCTGCAAAAGGTGGGCTCCTGGGAATGAAGAAGTGCCAAGTGAAGGACCCGAGTTAGCATGGGTACTGTAGCTGCACAGACCAGGTGAAGGCCTGAGGATGAGGAGGGCAGTTTTGAGTTGGAAAGTCTACATGGCTGGGACATGGGGGTGCAGTGGAGGTTAAACGGGGTGGCTTCGTCGGTTGTGATTCATTTGTGCTTCCTTCTAGTTTGCCATTAAGAACCGGGTGAAAAACCGCTCCGGTCTAATTCCGAAGCGGGAACACTGGCTCAACTGGGCATCAGAGAAATACTCAGTAAGTGGTGCCTTGCACGAAGAGGTTTCCCTGCCCCCCCCAGGGGTACATGGGCAATTACATTTCAATAAGGTGGCATGAAAGGGACACATCATTCCAAGCTGTGTCTGCGAGTCCTTGAATACTCAGACACGGGCAAATTTCCCTTTACACCGAATTCAGAAAATCCACAGCCCATTGACACAGTTCAAGAAGCACTAAAAAGCCGTGCAATATGGAGCACTGCGCAGCAAATCCAGCACACACACACATCTCCTGCGATTTGCACATGCAACTGGGTGCATTCGGTTGTCTACCGCTCCCACTACCCTCCATCTAGCCTGGATGATCAAGTGCGCTGTATTTTCAGCACGGCCCTGATCTGGACTGGGAGTCTGCAATACAAATAATGGGGGTGCCACGACTAAAGACGATAAACACTTTGCCACCCAGTTCCTCAGGGTTAACTGGGGGCCTCCACACACTGGGGACTGAAATTGCCATCAGCTGTTCCACCGTCCTTTTATCTTTCCCTGAATAGAAACAACTGATCACAGAGGTTAAAATGGTGACACGCGTCCTCTTCCTGTTCATCCCACTGCCGATGTTCTGGGCCCTGTTTGATCAACAGGTAAACTACAGGACGGCGCAGACAGGGTGGTGGGGTCTCAGGGGGACCGCATATTTGGAGGGACTGCCCTGAAGTCCCAGAGCACCAAGGACCTATCATCTCCCCAGGAAGGATCTGCTTGGGTCGAAGAGCTGGTGCCTGGTATGCAGGGTGGCTTGGCCTCCAATGTCTGGCTTGGTTCCTAGGGCGAGGGAGATGGGTGGATGGAAAGAGCATGTCGGGCTTAATTGCAGAAGAAAAAGAGGAGTGAAAAAAAAAAGGGCCGGGGAGAGGCGGGATAAACGAGCATGAGAGAGGGACTGGGGAGCCCAGCGAAGGAAGGAAAAGAGCAGTAAGGCCCTTTCAATGCTCCCCTTTCCTCTACTATTATCTTCTCATCCCGACCGGAGGGCTCACTGTGGTCTGTTTTGTCCTTAGGGGTCCAGGTGGACACTGCAAGCAACAAAAATGGATGCCGACTTTGTACGTATTTGACGTTATTAAGGAGTACAAAAGCAGAATTTACTTTTGGATTAATTGAATTAACATTTAAGAAAAGATTTCTTCTCAATATTTAAACCTGCTGCTTTTCAGCTTTGTGAGAGCTGCGGTTTTTTGTTGATTAAAAAAGCTGGAGATGCCCACGTAGGTTTTCCTAAGGCTCAAGGCAAGAAGGGCAGCCTAATGACATAGGGGGGCTCTGAGCCAAGAATACCTGAGCTCGTATCCAGGATTGGGCAGTGAATCCCTCTGTGAGCTTTAACCAGCCACTTACCATCCCAGGCCATGTTTAATCCTACTCAGAAAGGTTCATACAGCCATTGTGACCTGCATCTGGGAACCGGGGGCTCTTTATTTCTTCTAAGTGCATATCCAGTGGCACCTTATTCAGGCATCTACAAATGAACAAAACCTACTGGTAAAGTGTGGGGAGGCTGTATCTTTAATTAGTCAATAAGTGTAAAGGACTTTAGAAATGGACATTGCAAATGAAGCAAGGTACAACCACAGATAAATGTGAGACCTGTCTGAGTAAGGATTTCATTATTTAGAGTTGCCTTTCCAGGCAGGAACCAAGCTAACCCAGGTTTACCTGTGGACAGTTAAATCAGCACTTACACATGGAAATACCTGTCTCTAAAGTGGTTTTCATTTCCAAAATATAAACCCTACCGGGTCGCTCACATCAGTTGCTCATCCAGGTTAATTATTCCAAATGAGGCATAAAAAGACAACACCTCGGGTAATATTTTATCTCCCATCAATCCTAGAAAGCAAAATCAGTGTCGATTCACACTGCTGCCATTCTGCGTATGTAACTAGATACGCTTTCCTCCGTATTTCTGCCAGTATCTATTTAGTGCTACATTAACAAAGCATCTAAGAATCAATGATTACGTGATTAAATTTTCCATGCCTTAAAATAAACCAATCAGGGATTTTATGTGCCAGGAGTTTCAGCTCCTGTACCAGAGTGTCTCCAAAACCTTTATCCCTCCCTCTTGCACGGCAAAGGAAGAACGAATATCATGAATGAACGTTACTGTTATCCCAGTGTTACTGAGATGGTGCCTCTTTTCGGCTTCCCGAAGTCTGGTTTGTAAAATCCCAGTTGTTTCCTCTGGGTAAGGAATGGATTAAGAGGTAATGAAAGTTGGGTCTATTTTGGTGTAAGGTGAAATGCTCCTGCTTCCATAGGACCAAATTCACATGTGGTCTGAGTCTTGCAAATCGGTGGAAGGATGGGGGTGGGGAGATCCTTCCCACGGTGTTTTTACCTTTGTAACGGTTATGCTGCTTTTTCTGTGCACTGTACTTTCAAGTCCCCCGTTTCTGGTCTCTGCAGCGACAGGCAGACATTTTGCATTCAGCTCAGTGCACACTGCCAGGGACAGGGCAAGCACATACTCTGGCCTTTCTTGCCGTGGTTGGTTTTTCCTTTGTTTCTTCTCTTAATCAAAAATGAAATGCATTCTGTCTGCAACTATCAGTTTGCTCTTTGCGCTCAGAGAAATCCCTGCCCGAGTCAAGTGTACATCTCCTTCTCTCTCAAGACTGCTAAACTTTCCTTTTTGTGAATGAATTTGTATCCTTGGCTCAAAAGATTTAGGGCTGTTTATATCTGTAGAAGAGGTTGCTTCCAGTGTTATCGTGTGATAAAATCTCCCCCATTTACCCTCTTTTGAGGGGTATAATTTTCTTCTGCAAATAATTCCATTCTGTTCCATATTCTTAGAAGAGAGATGGCAGGGAGATCACCATACCAACACAAAGTGTCTAAGATGCTGCTGTGGCTATGGAGATCTGTACTGCAGGTTCTTTGCTTATTGTGGGTACAGTGATAGCTAGGGACCTACTGAATTTGTGATTTTTTTGGATTTTGCGGATTCTGTGAAATCCGGCATTGCTTGCGAAATCCAAGGAGCCTACAAAAGTCACAGAAAGAAATAACTTATCAAAAATAAAATGCAGCTCCCCAGAGGGAGTCAGCAGTCTTTAGTACACTGCAGCAGCCCACTGGGATGGGGAAGGGGTGGGGGCTGCCCACTCAAAGGGCTGGCAGCAAGATGGCTGCTGATTGGCTGTGAGGGCTGCCCCTCCCCACCAAATGGCGGTAAGGGGCAGGGCTGCATGACAGACAGCCTTCATAGCCAATCAGTGGCAAGGAGCGGGGCCACATGATACGCAGCCCCAGCAGCCAGTCAGAAGCACTGGGGCCTCTTGGCCAATCAGGTGGGGGTCTATGAACTGGCTGCTTGGGCCCATATTCTGCCCACAAAATCAGGGGGAAGCCCCCGCAAATTAGGTAGGTCCCTAGTTCTGTCTTAGTGTTTATGAAGCATTGTAAATTTGTAATTGTTTTTGTGTTTCAGGCAGGACTTATCCTTAAACCTGACCAAATGCAGGTAAAGAACCTAGAGGACTTTGCACTGTCTTTGAAAGGGACCAGCCTGTCTAATTGCTGTTCATTCACTGCACTTACGGTCCCCACCCGGCTCCCAGTGAAGAAAATGGCAACCCCCCATTGACTTCCACAGTGCAGGCTCAGATCCTTAATTTGCTAGATATTTTGCAGAAGCTTACAGTCTTATGGCCTTAGCACTTTCGTAGGCTGTTAACAGATATCACATTTGAGGTGGGTCTGCTTGTCCCGCCATGTGACTTGGATCAAAACAGGAGCAGCACAGCCATTTACATGTCACCCTTCCAACTTCCATGGCTGTTCCTCTGACAATGGTAGCAAGCAAGAGCATGCAGCCTAGCCTGCTTGTCCCTGGAATGACCCACCGTAACCCTGCAGGCACACATTGCTATGTGCTGGGAAGAAGCACTAGCACGTTTTATCAACATAGTTCACAGGGAGTTAAAGGGAGACAATGGACTTGTGTGTCTGTAGGAGCCCTGAACAAACAGCTGTCACCAAGGACAAATGCAACATCTAGATGGCTGGGGATGTTCAGTTAAAGGCTCTGCAGTCCCAGCTATTGTGCCTCATGCTGTACCTTCACGTGCAGGAGGTACCGGGGGTCAGATCCCAAATGCATCCTATTGCTGGTGCATAGAGAGCCAGGGATCTTGATCCTCAGCTTCCCCTGCACTGGCAAGTAACAAGCCGGGGGTCTGGCGCTCCTGTGGCTTGGATCAGAAGTCAGCTGATAGTCACTCCCGTGCAGAGGAGTGCATTGGAGGCCTTGGCTGACCAGCAGTTAACTGGTTAATCATGTCTTAAGTGTTATGACTGCCAGGGGCCCTTTTTACAGCCTGAGTCCAATAGCCAGCTCAGGACTCCTAATGCAGGGACTGCATCAGAAACCTGTCCGGGGTGAGCTGAGAGGGGCTGTGGTTATGGCTGTTCCTGTTCTACGTCAACTCAGTGGAGTCTTTTGAACAAAGGTACAAATTAGGGAAGGTCATCAAACTGCTCCAGTCAAAACCAGAGCCAGACCAGCCCCCAACCACCCTTGGAGAAGGAAGACACATGCTAGTCTCCCTTCTCTAGGTCCCGGTGCTGCGAGTGCATTTTCTGGCTCACCCCTTGCAGCAGAGGTGAAGTGTTAAGGTTCCCAGACTGTGCAGGGTTATCCCAGTTGGTAACAGGACTTCTGTGCTCCCCAGGGGTGGGCAAGCAGCTTCAGAGAAATTCAAAGGCTGAACTTCCCTGAAATCCACACTTGAAGATCTAAGGGTGTTTGACGGTTGCTCCCCACAGTCCTTATTCCTTCGCATGCCCTCCCTTCTCCTTGGAAGCACGATGAAGGGCATCCCATGAGACATGCTGCTCTTGTGGGATCTCTGACATGACTGGCACCGGGAATGGTTGGAAAACCCTCAAAGAGGTCCCATCGTCATGAGATTTTTCAACACAATGTTGAAGAACCACAATCCTGGCGTCATTGTTAGGGTTTGGAGGGGATTTCCTGACACAAAAGTTCCCCCATCTCTATTGCCTATAGATGTCTATGTAATCTTTGAAAACATCTTACTTCAGTTTCCCCCTCTGCAAAATTGGACTAATACCCCAGAGCTGCCTCCAAAGGGTATTGCACAGATGCATCCATTCATGTTTGCAAAAACTGAGTAGGAGCAGTTATCAAACTGTAAAGTGTGATTATATTTTAAGGGAAGTTTTACGTGTTTGTTCATGTCCCTCCTATAATGGCATTATTTTTGGAGGGCAGTGCTTTATGGATTTAAGTACTGTATGTGGCTTTCCATTCACTAATCTCTGCTGTTCTTTGGTATTGCAGTTTCTAAATTCACTTCTGATTCTTATCTTCATCCCCATTTTTGACCTTGGGCTCTACCCCCTGTTAAATATGTGCCGATTCAATTTTACGTAAGTACTCAATGCAGCGGATGCGGCTTAAGCTTTATTCTTTTGCAGCAGCAGTGCAGAAGAATAACGGGATGAGAAATGCAGGCTTGCATGTTTCTGAATGAGCCTTGGGTCTTGCATTTGCCAGCACTGCCAACTTACTGCAAAGTCCGTAGATGTTCCACAGAGGGGAAAGGCAAATTAGGTTGGCCAGGTCCCTTGTGCATTGTGTAGTGCAAATGAAAATGTCTCAAGCAGCAGGGCAAGACATCTGCCTTGGCAGAATGTCCCATGTTAGATGAGATTTTTTTTTTAGCAAGTTTTTCCCGACAGTCAACTTCCTCTCTCCCTTTCTGAATTTCTTTCCATTGCTTCTCATTGTATATCTTGTACTGCTCTCATTCCCTTCCTGCCTTAGAGACTGATGGAGCCTTTCCCTGCGTTCGTTTCCTGCAAGGGCCAAGCTCAAAGGCCATCCTTGCTCTCCAGTCCTCTGCAAAGCTAATGGGAGTCTTTCTGTTGACTTCAGTGGGCCACATATCAGGTCTTCCGAGGTCAATGCCCTTATTAGCTGAGGACCCAGGCGGGCCCTTTCTGAGCAGAGCCCCAGCAATACTTCCCATGCATGCTAGGAGCATTGCATTTTCCTGAGCCACAGCATCTCTGGGGCACATGCTGGGCATTGCTTCTGCATGCTACCCCAAAGTGCCCTTGCACAGCATCAGAATCACCTCTTAGCCCATCACACCTCCAAACACTGAACACACACACACAGATTAAAAGTGATGCCCTGCAGCACAGGCTGAAGAAAATCCTGTGCTTTGGGGCCTGCTCCACCATATCATATTGCACTTACAATAACATTGGATGCAAATCAGTCTTTCCTTCCCAGAGATTAACGTCTTGTCTTGAACGGGGACTAAGAGCACGTATCCTGCATGAAGCAGTGTTCCCAAGAGACATCACTTGGTTCAGAAATCTGCATTATTTCAATCCCAATGCCAGATCTGGGCCAACAATACTGATTTATTATGTCATTGTAAAGTGCCCACATGTCTTTGGCTATCCTGGGGCATTTAATTGAGGGATGGGCTCAAGCTCCAAAATTTGGACCCATAATTTGGATTTGCAGCAGCTCAGCATTCAGGAGAGTTTGGGTTTGGAGTTTTGGATCAGACTATTGGATCTGCTGTGCAATTTTGGGTCAGACCCTGAGAAAGACTGGAGACATTTGCAGCTGTTTGACCTCATTCCAGATCTGTATTATAATCATTCAAATGCATTTTGATTTTGATCCGTCTCTGAACTCAGAAGTCCAGTTGGGATCAATGTCTGCTCTTTAACCAGCTCTACATCAGTATAGCTATAATGGAGTCACTCTTCATTTATACCAAGACAGTAGGTGAGATCTGAACCTATTCCATGTGCGTCTTGAAAAATAATACAGCCTGGGTGATGCAGATGGTTGGAAATTTTGATAATTATAAATGATATATTTTTCTGTTCTGCAAGCTTGCTGTTCAGTAGTCTGCTGCCTTTTTTGTCTTTCCCCAAAGAGGCTTGAAGATATATAATTTGCGGTGCTTCCTCTGGTGTTGTAAGTTAACATTATGCCAGAAGCGATTCACACTAGAAGAGCTCGGGACAAGACAATGTGAAACTTGCAAGCAAAGAGCTTTTTTCATGGCATATCAGTTTTAATTGGCCTCGGTGCTGGTTTCATACCGTATAATAGAACAGTTTTCAACGAAGTGATTGTCAGCTTCAGCAGCACATCAGCCGCGATGCCACCTGTTTGGACAGTTTAATTCATGAGTTTGGAATATCTTTGACTCTGAGGGATGGTATTTATACATTTTAAATGACGCTTTGTATAATGAAATCTCTGTCGTTCACTCTGCAGGCCTATTAAAAAAATGGCAACAGGTATGATCCTTGCAGCTCTGGCATTTGCAGCCGCAGCCATCATCGAAGTCAAAATTAATGTAAGTCTGAAGCAGCCGCATGGAAGGAGATGTGCACAATCCCTGATAAATGTATTATCTCTCTCATTCGGCTACTTTATTGATGGCGATGGGATAGTGCCCCTTTTAACTACCGTACAGCTTGATATGTGTCATTAATGCACACTTTACCATTGAACAGATTGATATGACTAAGACTATCATTTTTATCTGTCTGCCTCTCTCTCTAATCTTTGCAGTTCTGCTGAGTTGATCGTCTCTATTGGTTCCTAGTATATAGTGCTTTCCATCATCAAAGTGCTTGACAAACACCCAATTAACACTAGTGGCTAATTCCAAAGAGGTAGTGCTTCCTTTCTTTTGTCTGTGCTTTGTTTTCTGCTTGAATTTAATAGGGCTGGGTTTTTGGCTGGGGGTGGGGTAGGGTGGCTGGGCAGTCCTTTCCTTTGATGATTTTTGGATTAGATTTGTTTGCCAGGAGAACTCTTTCAATGATAATGCATGTGAATGTGCTCATTTGCTCAGTTCAGGGGTGGCCAACCTGTGGCATGGGTGCTACAAGTGACACGGGCAGCTTCGGTGTGGGGCACGTGGCAGATCTGGGAGGGGACAGGCACCGCAGCGGCAGGTAGGACAGGAAGCAAAAAGCAAAGCAGCAAACGGGGCAGGGAGCCCAGGGCTGGGAGCAGAAAGCAGAGCACCAGATCAGGGAGGGGAAGGTGAGGGGGTAATTTATGGCATGCCTGCCAAAAAGGTTGGCCCCTGCTGTCTCAGTTGCTCACGCTGTTTCTATTTGCACTTTCTAATCACTTGGAATTTCTTTGTGCTTGTCCTACAAAGTTTGTTGCTGTTTCCAGGCTTGGCAGACACAGACTGAGCTTTGGCATATGAAAATGAATAAGGAATTATATTTTAAAGCTTCCATCCAAGACTTAAAAACAAATCAACTCACCAAGATGTTTGATCACAGAGTGGCCCCAGAGTCACTGAGGTTGCTAACGTGGGCTGGCATTTATTGTGAAACCATTGGCAAACCACTCGCTAGAGCTAGACTTCGCAGATTCATTTCTCCTCCCTGTTCTACACTTCTTACCTAGGCAAAATACTTGAGTTGTGTCTGAGCTGTGAAAGCAGCCTGGCACCCAAGATGTGGCATTTCCCAGGGAGGAATTACAGCTGTTAGTAGGGCCTAGACCCCGTAGGCAGTTTTGTCGGGTGTAGCACAGGTAAGGCATAGTCACGCTAAAAGTATGGACAAGTAGCAAACTGCGGCCCGTTAAAAGGGAGATGCTCTGTGCTAACTGCCCGTGTGCCTGCTTTGAAGTAGGAGCAAAACCATAGCAACTTTTCTTTGCCATGCCGAATGAAGGAAGACAGAGCTACCCTAGTTTAGCTTTTACTTGCTGTGGGATAAAAGCAGACACATGAGTGCCCTTACTATGATTTTGCCTGGCATTACTGAAATGCTTCTTCCCCTAGCCATTTCCTATAGCACTTACTCTCTCAGTGGATAGGTGGAAAGATGCACGTAGTCATCCATTGGATCAGCAGGTCCCAAACTCTGACATTGCTCACCACCAATTTAAAACAATGCAACCTTGAGTCCCACCAGCAAAGTGTTCAGTTCAACCTTAAAAACCACCAGCAAATTTTTGTCATATAAAGTAATTATAATAAATTCATTAGCACGTACCACTGACAGGTACCACTGGTGGTACGCATACCACAGATTGGGAACCGCTGCATTAGATAGTGCGCGGTTCAGAGTATCTAATATGGAGCTATAGCAGGGGAGGTTTCTAAAGTGCTCGGTTCTAGCTTTATTTTGCTTCTATTTAAAGTCAACCGCAGTGGGAACAAAGTTAGATGAGGACTGAGTGCTTTTCGAAATCCTCTCCATACATAGAGACAGATCTCTAGCTCCATCGATTCTAACATGATAGGACACAATAGTCAATTAAATGTAGGCACTTGGGAAAGATAACATTTCAAAATCAGCCTGGTTCTAATCGCCCAAATAAAAGTCCCCCAGCTAATTAGTCTTGCATATATTTGATGGAAGCGTGTTATGGCTGGAGAGTACCCTTCTGAAGAATGGCAGAGCAGCGAGCACGCAACCACCATGAAAGATCTCCCTAAATAAGACTTATGTTCTGTCATGTCACAGTGCAGCTTGCAGAAAAGAAGGGATGGGGAAGTGGCAATTTGACAAGACCATCATTACAGAGGCAGAATATTACAGCTATAAACCAAGCAATATTCAGCAGCTCTTCCAAAGTGGACAGTGGTGCTTAAAACCTTTTATTTTAATTAGGAGCATGACATGCCCAAACCTGTTCCAAAAGGAAGTTTCCTTCAAGTCCTGAATCTGGCAGACAACAGAGTTCAAGTGACAGTCCAAGACCAAGACCTCTTTCAGCAGCCCATCGAGACTTTTCAGGTAGGCTCTTTCAGGACGAGAAGGCCGTATCCACAGTCCAGCGGGATTCAGTGACACCAGCAGACCTTATGTGCAGCTTTCAGACGTCCAAAGTGGGAGCTTCCTTCAGTTAAAGAGTACGGGCAGTGCTGATTACCCTCAGCTCCTATTCCTCAAAGTGGGGCGTGTTGTAGATGGGCTTCCTAACACCTCAAAGGATCAGATGTCATCTCAGCTCCAGAGGCGCTTGTACACGGGATGCCATTACCATGTACACGTGATGAAAATGTCACTTTGTATGGCTTCATAGCATCACACTGTACATGTGTGAGAGTTTTGGGGAGGGTTAATGCATTTGCATCGTTGCAAACTAAACTTCATCCCAATGTAGTTTAGTTTGCAATGATGCATTGCAGCTATTAGCTCACCCCTCCCCATTGCAGGAAAGGTGGGCAGGCTCTGTAGAAAAAGGGACTGGGGCCCTCACCGCTTTGCCTTCAGCGGCGCCTACTGAAAGCAGAAGCAGCAAGGGGCCCGATTCTTTTTTTTTTTTCAGTGGAGCCTGCCCACTTCTTTCATGGCCAGGGAGTGAGCTGCCAGCGGGGCAAGCAGACCCTGAGCTGCCAGGGCCCTGGTTCTTCCCTCTGTGGTGGTGGTGCCCCCAGGGCTGCCCAGGCAGGCTGCCAGTGGGCCAGGTGCTGCCCCAGTGTGGGCTTGGGGAAGAGTTGGATCGGGCTGGGTGGTGCCTCTGAGTTGGGGCAGCGCACGGCCTGCTAGCAGCCTGCCCAGGTGGCCCCAGGGGGTGCCGTCACCATGGAGCGAAGGACCGGGACCCTCTGCAGCTCTGGAGCTGATCAGCCCACAGGCAGCTCACCCCCTGGTCACGGGCAGTCTCCACCAAAGAAAAAAAAAAAGATCGGGCCCCTCACTGTAACAGTGACAGAAAGATAAAACTCCTAAATTGAGACCATGGGTTTCAGTTAAAAACCCACCATTTCAATTTAGGCGGCATAGAATACAACCCTAAGGACTAAACCCCCATCACGTGTACAAGTGCCCCGTCACGTGTACAAGCGCCCGGTCACGTGTACAAGCGCCCCAGGCAACAGATCTCATCCCATATAGCACTGAGACTCCCGCAGGAAAGAGGATGCATTCACACTCCCTTTCCTTTAGAGGATCAGAAAGCCACTTCCTAGCTCCTGTGCTGTCCCTGCCTTGACAGTGTGGGTGGGGGTCTGCCTCCCAGAGACCGGAGCACTGCCACTTCAGCCTCAAAATAGAAACGATGGTTCTTGAGGTGTATTTAAATGAGAAATAAACAGCTGGCTAACGGTGTTTGGCTGTAATTAAGAATAATGGGTAGTTGTCCCAGGGCTAATACGGGCAGCCATTTAGCCTGCAGGTTGCAATGCTCAATTTCAATTAAAACATCACTCTTGGGATTTGGATTTAAGGTTTTCAATGTATGGGCCTGGAACGGAGAGAAGAGCATGGGGAAGAGCTTCAGCTGCAACCTGGGCGCTCAGGTCTCTCTCCTTTTAGAGCCCCGCATACTCTGGGCATTGCCTTTGTGAGGTGCTCAGCGTGGCAACGTGTCAACCACCGGCTGCCTGTAATTTCATTTTCCAGCTGCGGCACGTGCTGGGTGAAGCACTAAGCCGTGGGTAATGAAAAGCAGCAAGTAGGGAGGGTCTGCTCTGGCCAGTGGGCTGCTGCACGCACGAAGAAGTTGCTCTGAGCTCTGGCTAGACAAGCATCAAAGCACAGAGGTCAACACAAGCCATTTCCCAAGCAGCTTGGGATGCTTCCAGCTCCCTTTGAAAATCCCCCTCCCTATTAACCTTTCTCTGTAACCTGCCTTGAAGTGAGAATGGGTTTGCAATTCCCCAGGAAGCGACAGCTCTTTCCTCATGTACTGGAGCTTGTTTTCTTTCTGCAGGATCCAGCTGAGTATTCAAAATTAATATTGAGCGGCCAGCAGCAAACCCTTCGCTTTAACCTGCAAGAGACTCCTGGATCGGCCTCTGCTTTTAACCACACCGTGCAGGAGAAATCCGTGTACAGCTTAATTGTTTACAAAGCAGGAGGAAGCATATCAAGCCGCTTAGTGAGTACAGGTCGGAAGTGTAAACACAGTATTAATTCAATGGCTGCGATGATCCAATGCATAATGGGGTAATGGGTTCATTAATTCATCCACTCAGTCACAGTGTCAGCGCAGTTGCTCTCAGACGCCGTAAAGTTGACTTCTTAGCGAGCAGCGTGGAGTCTGCACGCACGTCTGCTGGGTGATTAATGGAGGCATTACAGCACCCAGGTTGCTGGGCACAGTTTAAATTGGTGGATGCTGCAGCTGGAGAACAGAGCCCTGGCTGCTGAGGCGGTAGAGCCGGAGCATGGACAGCAGTGGAAAGTCTGACTCTTTCTCCCTTCCCCTCCAAAAAGTACTTGGATAAAGCAGTGATGTTTAAGAGGCTCTGGGGCCAGGCACAGAAATGAAAACAGGAGTGCAACGTTCCTGGTGTTAGTTATTATAGGTCGTTAGTTGAAACATGCAGGAGGACCCTTCATTTTGCCAAACAGAGCAAACGATAAGACTAGCTCCCCGCTCTGCAGCTGCAGAGCCAAGCTGGCGTGCAGCGCGGTGAGCAGCCATAGGTATACAGTGAACATCAGGGGCCACATCCTGATCTCGGTTACTCCTGGATAAGTCGGAAGAAACTCTGTAGCAGTTATGGGACTTAATCCAGAATATTTCAGGAAGTAAATGTGATCAGGCTCCGGCCTCAGGTTGCAACCCGGTTCCTCCTGTAGCACCCTCCTTACTGAGTGTATTGCCACCCCCTGCGCCAGCTGTGAAACTGGAAGTGCTGACGGAAGTGGCTTGGCAATTGGCTGCTGCGGGATGTCCCCCCCAGTTGGCAATTGGCCACTGGGGGACTCCCCCCCGGTCAGCAATTGGTGGCTGGGGGACCCCCCCGTCAGCGATCTGGTGCCCCTGCAGACTCGGGAGGCACCAGTCGCCCATGCCTCATAGGTTAGCAGCTGAATTGCAGCTTGTCATTACAGCGAGTCGGTCCTCCATCCAAATGAGCTACCGTGGGAATGTGGGAAGCCTGTTTCCTGCTGCCCCAGACCTGCATCTAAGTCGCCTTCTCCTTGAGCGTGCAGTCCATATGGCACTCTCCTCTATCCCACTGGAGCCCCTTGAAGGCAGTGGGCCAGTTTCATCCCTGGCTAAATGTCAGCGATGTAGCTGGAATTGCTCTCGTGTGACTGTGGGCTGGGTATACCCCACCCTCCTCTGGGTACGTCTTCAAAGACGGCCCCTGGGCTAGCTCCAATTCTGGAAGCTGCGGACCTGCAGGAACGCAGAGCCCTGTGTGGGCTCTTCGACTCTGTTTGGAGTAGTTTGCATGAAACCTCAGACTCCTGGGTGTTGACTGCTTCCAGCTACGCTGGACGCCTCTGCACCACACGGGACAATACCGCTAAATGTACTTTTAGATGTCTGTGGGTTTGGCAGCTGCATACACAAGTCTGCATGGTTTTCCATGCTGGAATTGGCCCAGAGAGGCTTGCTCACATCTCTGTATATCTTTCAACTATGAACAAAGATGTTAGCAGCTCAGGAAAGCATCCATTAGAGGCAATAATAGTTTGATTGGCCTGCGCCATGAAAAGGCAGCATTAATCCCCTTGCATCCACCACTGACAGAAATACTGCTGATATCTATTATTTATCAAATGTGCATATATTATTCACTCTGGGGATTTACTATTTAGTGTACGTTTATCTTTGATGGGCCACTGTATGACACCAGAAGTGTGATAGACCTTGTGTGGGCAGGTTGGAAGGCAAGGTCCTTGCTTGTGGAAGCTCACAGTACAATCTGTAAGTGAGGGAAAGGGATGTTAAATGTTTACACAGCACATCTGGTGGTTGCCTTGAGCACTTCTGGACCGTACCTATGGCCTGTACACATTGGGATAGCTCCATTGGCTTCAATAGCCATGGGGCATCAATGGATCATCCATCTGAAGGAGGAGATTCTGCTCACCTATTGTGTGACCCCTTTTTAGAAGCTGCATGAACCAATCATAATATGAATTATTGGTGACTTATCAGTATCTCCTGATAACAGCAATCTTGACGAAATTTGATGGCCAGACTAGCTAATCTCGTGGTCCCAGATGGCCACCAACTCTATGAAATCTATGGTTTAATACCTTACAAGGGGCTTCCCAACTCAGTCCACATTTCAGTAGTCCAACGAATAGTGAGAAGTTGATTATGCACAATCAATCTGATGGATTACTAGATTCTCTTACCTAGGGTGAAATGTATATGGCTTTGCTAAAATACTATGTTAAGCACAGGATACAGGTTGCAAAGGATGTTAAAAGGCATAAGAAGATGCAAAGGATGGCCATCTCATAGTTTATAGTTTCATAGTTTCATAGTTTCTAGGGTCAGAAGGGACCTGAGTAGATCATCTAGTCCGACCCCCTGCCATGGCAGGAAAGAGCACTGGGGTCAAACGACCCCAGTAAGGTGGTCATCCAACCTCCTCTTAAAAACCCCCAGGGTGGGAGCCTGCACCACCTCACTTGGAAGCTGGTTCCAGACTCTAGCCGCCCTGACCGTGAAGTAGCGCCTCCTGATGTCCAACTTAAACCTTCCCTCCGCCAGCTTGTGACCATTGTTCCTGGTCACTCCTTGCGGCGCTCGGGGGAACAGGGACTCCCCCAGCGCCTGCTGATCCCCCCCTAACCAGTTTATAACAGGCCACAAGATCCCCCCTCAGCCTTCTCTTTTGAAGGCTGAACAGGTTCAGGTCCCGCAACCTTTCCTCATAGGACCTACCCTGCTGTCCCTTGATCATACGAGTGGCCCTCCTCTGGACCCTCTCGATGCTGTCCACATCCCTCTTAAAGTGCGGCGCCCAGAACTGGACGCAGTACTCCAGCTGCGGCCTGACCAGTGCCGCATAGAGGGGGAGGATCACCTCCTTGGACCTGCTCGAGATGCATCTGTGGATGCACGACAAGGTGCAGTTGGCCTTCCTAGCCGCCTCCCCACATTGCCGACTCATGTTCATCTTGGAGTCAATAATGATGCTCAAGGACTGGAGAAATTACCTGTAAATGAGATATGTCACTTATCCAAGTGATGATCAAAAAGAGTATCAATTAAAGTATATTTGTATTTCGGCAAGGAGGGCTTGGTAGTTTAGCAAGGAAAGGTGTCACAAGAATGAAGGACTGGAAGTTAGTGTCAGACCATTTCAAATGTTATAGAAATAAGGGACCTGTTTTTAATGGTGGTTACTCTACAAACTGGTGGAGTCTCCATTTCTTGATGCCTCCAGTTAAAGACTAGGCAACTCTTTGGGGCATATACTTTAGTCAGTCCCAAATTACTGGATCAGGGCAAGGCTCAGCGGGTGAAATCCTAAGAGGTCAGGCTAGATGTTCATTGAATGACCTAGTGGACTTACTATATCAGTCTATGAATCCTGGTCCCAATGAAGCCAATGGGAGTTTTGCCACTAGCTTCAACGGAGCCTGGATTTCACCCTCCTACAGACTGATCCAAATCTTATGGGGGAGTCCCAATGATTTCTATGAGCTTTGGATCAGGCCCCTACCTCCCGTGACACCAATATTTGCCAGTGCATCTTGTTCATCAGACAGCATGCTAATAACCGTGTTTGATTTTTTTCCTTCCCCAGATCACAGACATGCAATCGAAACCAGTCAAGGGAATGGCAGCTGTCAGGTCAGGTTTGTTTTTGGTACTAGGTTTTGAGCTCTTTAATTTTTCCCGGTGCTCTTTCCCAGGGTTGTAGCTCATGGGACAGAGCTGTCACTGGAGTCTGAATTGCATCAGTATTCCTGGGATAATGGCAGCTTCAGGAGCCATTATCAGCAGTTAGGGGCTGAGCAGCCCAGGAGGGATGCTATATCCCTTTACCGCATCTTGATGAGAGGGAAAGGAAAGGAGCTGTCTGGGGAAGCACTCACTGGGGCTGTTGTCTGCAAATTGTTGCCCAACCCACAGCTGTCATTTGCACTCCCTGCACTATATTCAGTGTGCAAAATGGTCTGAGCAGCTACTGAATTATTTCCTTTGTTGCTGGGATATAAGTGATTACCCAAAGCTCAGCGCAGTGGAGAAGCAGGCCTACAGGGACAGATTCAGCCTTATGTCTGTTGCTGATTCCAGCTCAGAGGCATCAATTTTGCACCCTCCAATTTTGCACCCTGGCCCAGGACTGAGCTAACTTGCACCTCTGCCTCAGTGAGCAATCTGAGAGGTGCAGGACCGCTCTAATTACACCGCCTGCCCCACCACTCCCTCCTCAATACTCCTGCTCCCTGGCCTGCTCCTGGGCCCGGGCAGTCACAGAAGCACTGCAGAGGTGGCAAAGATGCCTAGGTTTTTGTGCATGGCGTGAAGCTCACACTGCACTACCGAATGAGGCCCCAGAGCTCGGATCCTCTTCACACCAAGTGTGCCAGCCGTTGCTGATGCTCCCTGCAGCTGTGCCAACACCCTGAAAGCCGTGGCATTTTGAGGAGCTAGGTGCAAGTCCCAACGCTCGTGTCCGAGGTTCTCCAACGTTGGTCCCAAGTCCTTTGCTGGCAGGCCACCTTTAACTGTCAGTCTGTTTTCTAGCAGTGGATCCCACATGAGATGTGCTGCATTTGTAAGGGAAAGGATTATCTTCCTGCCATGGGAGCAAACCTCCTCTGGCTTCCTCAGTCCAGAGGCAGGGTGGGTCCCGCACCCGCTCCCAGAGCTGCTTTATCTAACAATTACAGTGCAAAGCAAAGCATTCTCCTTTTTGTCAGTAGGCATCACTTAGAGACGTGTAAGGAGGAGATCTCCTGAATAACCATTAAGGATTATAGCTGCTTTTTAAATTTCTGGATGACTTGCCCATTCTAAATGAAGTTTGGGTACCATAAAGCAATGAGCTTATTTCAGAGACCATAAAGCAATGAGCTTATTTCAGAGACGTTGGTGCAGGTGCCAGCTGCACACCAAGTATGATGAAGAACCTCTCTGCTGAAGAACCATGGTATTAATGGCCAAGCATCTGATGCCTTTTCCACTCACCCATTGTGTTGTTGCATTGTGGGTCAGCCGTATCTACTAGTACTTTTGCAATCGTTGTACTAGAAAGGGTCACTAGTGACTGAACATCATGGAGGAGACCTGTTTACTCACAGAAACGTTGGGCTGGAAGGGACCTCTGGAGGTCATCTAGCCCAGTGGGTTTCAACCTTTATTTGTAAATATGGATGGCCAGTCCCGACCCGCTGCCTCTCGCCCCAGGCCTCAGCGCCCCAGTGCGTGGGGCAGGGGGTGGGTGCGTGTGGGGCATGGGGAGCCCCAAGCAGCCCCTCACAGGCTGGAGCTCTGCCAGCCTACAAGGGAAAAGCCATGGTTTCCCACATTTTCCCCCTTTAAAGGAGAATCCATTTTCAGACCCTTTCATATATTCTTGCGACCCACTTTTGGGTCACGACGCACAGGTTGAGAAACACTGATCTATCCAACCCCCTGCCTAAGGCAGGATCATCCCTATCCAAACCATCCTGTACAAATCCATTGTCAAACCTAGTAGCAAAAGTCCACAATCAACCCTGATGCAACCACAAGACGTTACACCCGAACTCTGTTGCAGGTATAGCCGAAGGACAACTGGGTTAGTTGGGAAATGCTTTATTTTCCTGTAGAAAAATTTGACAAAACATTGTTTTTTAATATTTTGGAGGGCCTTTCATTAAAAAAATGATTCTGGGAAGGGGTGACAACTGAAATTTTTTTTAAGTCAGTTTTTGGTAGCTGGAAACCAAAAAAAAAAAATCTTTATCAGGCAAAAATATTTGACTTTTTACTAAACTTCTTTACTTGACCATATAACATTTTTGAGTTGAAAGGCAAAAAAAAAAATGTTCTTGTTGGGTTTTTTTTCTAGTGAAAAACACAATATGACCAAGAGACATTTCTGGGGGAACTTTCCGTTTTAATGGAAACATCTTTTATTAGAAAAATACATTTTAATTAAAAAAAAATTCCAACTTTTTATAATGCTTAAAAGTTTGCTGGCATCAAGTGAGTACATAAACATCGCATCCCAAGCTGGCATGACTGATGGTGGATTCACTGTGACACTCATCTACGTCATGTAGACAAGGCCTAGTTTCCTTGGGATGGATGAAGTCCTTTCAATTAAGTTTATGAAGGTGCCCCAGAAGAGCCCTAGCACCAGGCTCATAAGTGAGAAGGAGGGTGCAGCACTAGTCACCTAAGTGGGGAAATCCAGCGTTAACTTATACGGGGATGGGAAATGATTATCCTTGAATCAAGAGATGGGCAACGACCCAGCCTTAAGTGTTGGTAGCTGGCAAGGGAGAGTGCCATAAAAATTAAAAGGTACGGAGCACATTAGGAGCGCTTGAGCAGCTCATGTAAAGTGTCTACTATTGTATTTCTCTTGACACCGTGATGAAGTATACTTTCCTTGCAGATTCATTAATGCATTGGACCAAAATGTCAACATCACCTTGGGCAGCCAGGAGGTCATCAGCGTTAACAAAAGTTACGGCGTTTCGGGTTACACGACGTTAGAGAGGGGAACGTAAGCACTTACCTTCATACCTGCATCCCTGTTTCCCTCGTAGGGCTTCTCTTGGACACATGCAAAGGTCCTTTTGCACGCTCTTGGAGTTGGCTCATTGTGTGACAGGAGTTGAAATGTCAGCCAAAGGGAGAGTAGTCTGTATATGCGTCGTCCCATTTGTACCTAATTGGAAAGAAGCAATGTTGTTAGATTGCAGGGCACGCCAGCAAAAAGACAGCAGATCGATGGGCCTATGTGAGTTGTATAGCTGAATTAATGTAGCATCCACTTAATGCCAAGTCCAGCTCTCTGCCCAGGCTGTTACCACTTGGGATAGATAGGTGGATTAAATAGGATCAAATGAAGGGGGTGGATACTAAATTCCTTATAGCCATTATCTGAGTAAAAACATCACAGTTTAGTCCAGGAACTTATCTTTTACATGGGGCTCTGGCAGTCGTGGTCAGAAAGACCTTGACACTTGGGCTATTTGTTTCCCACCCCATGCAGTGCTGGAAAGTATATTGGATCCCATTGCACTAGATTTTAGTAGGTCTTCTAGGCTGGGGCTCCACATAGTTTGGTAGCATTGCTGGAGCTGGCCCTACTATGGTATTTTTAGGGTATCCATCTTTCTGGCATCTATTAGGTCTAAAACAAGTGGCACAACTTTCCCTCTTCCTCTGTAGCAACCCCATAAATAGCTTTATTGCGGGAGTTTACAACCCTTGTGATATAATCTCTACTGAGTCAGCT